AGTCCAGCAAAATGGACTACAGCCTTGCAACTGAAAGCGTTCAACTCCTTTAAGTTGCTCCCTGCCACGCCCAACCCCCCCACCCTCCGCCCTCTGCAGTCATCAGATTGGCAAAGAAACAACAAATGGAGTGGAGAAAAAGCACAGTGCATGAGATTTTCTTTTAAGTAAATGATACATCTTAAACTGTTACTACTTTCCCTTCTCATTCATCTTTGAGTGCATAGGAAACGTGTGAGTTACAAATGCAAGGTTCTTTGAAGTCTGCCTATGTGCAGGTGTAATTTTGCATGGCTTGGCTCAGGACTGTGGTATGTGGCATTTTTGGGTTTGTTTTGGTTTTCAGGAAAGCTTAGTGACTTACTATACAGTATTGAGCAGATAAGGTCTGAAATCAATGTTCTGAGTAACTGAAAGTCTGCCAAAGAATAGAACAGTTTACTTAACTGAATTAAATGTATTTCTTACATTGACTTGAGAAAAACATTTTCTTGGAGCAAAATTGAAATTTTAATTTCAGCTTAAACCAAGTGGACTGAATGCATCATGCCAGATGCTCTGCTGCCTCCATGCCCTCCTAAGTTCAGCTGTCAGGAGGACACATTTCAAAGTGAAGATACACACACACACTCTGACTCTACTTAGTTCTCTGTTCTGTGTAACAGGAATGTCTGCCTCCCTCCCCAGCACACAAGATTGTAGGAGGACATTGTATTGATCATCCATCCTGATGACAAAGAATGTTAAAACTAAAATGTCAGGTCTGTTTGTTATGACGTGCTTAAGTGCACGGCTGCACCCTGATAAGGAGAGATGTATGCGTGTCCCCTTTTGCCTGTGCCAATGGTGGTCATTCTTAGCTGTGCCAAGGTCTTCCAAAGTAACTAGCAATCATGACTGCCCAACCTGACACACTGCAGAAAAGCCTCAAAGGCCTCAAAACCATAAGTCCTGAAGTCTTATCATGGTAGTCACTCAGCTAGGCAGTATTTTGATAATCTTAGGTGTAATTCTGTAACCTGCCAGGGTGAGTGTATGCCCCAGATGTGTTTGGTCTGGGGTGAGTGGGGAGGGAATGCAAAATAAAAACCTTGCAATTAACAGCAAATTTGGAATGAACCGTAATCTTATCTACCTTAGAACCCAGAATAAGGAATAATGCCGTTGCCAGCATAACCTCCATGGCCCACAAAAACTAATAAAGTCAGGATTTGCTAAGTGCTCTGATTTTGCAATACAAGAGGTATTTTAAAGGAAGGTGTTGAGTGCAAGAAACGCCCACCGAATAATGCATGTCTGCCTGGAAGTTGGCAAGAGCTAGCTTCTCAGGAAGGACAGAGCACAGCCCAGCATGTGAGACATGGCTGGAAACATAAAACTCATGGCCTAGCTCTCCAGTACACTGCAAAAGCGCAAGGTTGCCATAAACCCCATCTACCTAGAATTTTATTTGGACACAGAAGGGACAATATTTGTTTTGGCAGGAAATAGGGCCGTGCCAGAGTTGCAAAGAGGGTGTTTCTTTGTCCTTTGCAGCATTTGATGATTTGTTAATAGCCAAAAAGGGTAATTGCCACTCTTGAGTATCTTGATTTTCTTTTTGATTAGGTGATTCTTGAGTATTGGCTCTTACAGGACTCCCAGAGGAGCTGCGTTTATCAATGATGATCTTGCAGATGAGGGATGCCATAAGTGGACAGCGCTGAGACAATGGCCATACCCTGCTACTGACCCACGTTGTAGCCTTTGGCAAGTCATATCATGCCTCTTTTTTTTGGTCTTGTCTTTTTGCCTTTTGGTAGGAATTGCTTCATGAGGGAAATTGTCTCTTTCAGATAAAACTAACATACTGATACGATGCGGGTCTCCTTAGAGCACATTAACTGCTGCTGAAATACAGATAATTACATACTGAGCCAAAGAAGTCAAATGAATTAAATATTTTTAGATAAAACATAAATTTCAGGATCATGGATTTGAGGAGCTGCCAGAAAAAAAGGACCGTCAGAACTGAAGAAGAGGTTTGGCTAATAGGCAAATATTCCTTGTGACAAAAATTGACAGTTAAACTCCACATGTTCTTCTCGGTATCCAAGTAATTTCTGTAACAATTCAGTTCATAATGGTTCCACAATTTACAAAGGTGATTCTGCTTTGATTTCAGAACAAACGCTGCTTGTAAGTGAGAAAAGAGAGATCAAATTGTCAAACTCAAGGACATCAGTGAAAGGAATAAGGCATACTGTGAGACAAAATCAACTCTTCTTCACGATAGCACTCAGTAAGATTTTTTTTTCCCTCTTTTTCACTCACTTTATGTCACTATTCAAAAAACACCTCATAGTACTCTGATGCACTGTGAGCATTTCCTCTGTGGTATCAGATGCCACTGCAGAAGAACAAGAACAGGACCACAAACAGAATAACTCAAAGTCAGTCTGAATTGTATGACACCTACCAGCCCTGGGGATTTACTCAGTTTTCACATATAGAAGATTCTGTCCTTTGCAAGACATGGAAGAGGAACTATCCTCCCACTTGGGATATTGGACATAAGCTAAATGCTTTCCATGGATCTTTATTGGCTCCTACAAACAACATATGCATGGGCAGAGGACTGCAGTTTAGTTAGAGCCACTGCTCCTAGTGCCTTGACACTGTTGGGGGAACAGGGAGAAGCTTGCAGTCATTGAGAGAGAAACCACAGCAGTCCCCATCACTATGCTTTAAAGCAATGAGTCCTACTGCTCTGTATGTTCCCTCTGCTAATATATGAAACAAATTGTTTGTTTGCAGAGGTCTGAACCCAGGCAAGTGCCCACCTCTCCTGCAATGCCAGGTTTCCCCCAGGCACATGGGCAGAGAAGGGAGCTGAAGTCTTCTCTAGGAACCCCTCCACTCTGTGCTGCTACAGGGACAGGACTCTGGAGCCCACCACAGAGCATTCCTGACCTATCAAATAACAGCCACATGAACTGAACCAATAAATTAAGGGCAAAAAGCTTCTCGAGATTAGAGAAACAGCCACTGGGATTTTGTACCTCCTGTTCATGTCTAAGGAAACCTCACCATGACTACTTTTACTACCAACAGCCACCAGAAGCTGCCAGCCTGGGAACTGCTTGGTGGCAGTGACCCCAGGAGGAGCTCCACCAGGTCAACACCTCTGAAGAACAGGTGCCTCGATTAGTTGCCGAACAAAGAGTCTGATTTTCTGAGTGCCCTCAGGTTTCAAAATGGTTTGTGTTAGAATAACTTATTCTGCTCCTTTCAAATAAACCCTACCCCAGCCCAGCTTCTGCTTTTCCTCAGTCAGAACTGGTGATTTGCTCTGCAGGGCTCAGAATGGTGTTTTCTAACAGGGAATGCCCTTTGCTATCACTCATGAAATAAAAGAAAATTACGACAAAGGGCATTTTTCCTCTGGAAGCAATGGCCACCACACACACCTGAAACCCTGTTCAGGCAGATGTTCCTATTTCCATCACATGAGCTTGTCTGGAAATCCTGAACATCCTCTGCCTCCTCCAGCAAAGGCTGCCAAGACTTCCCAGGGTCGGACTCTTAAATAAACACCCTGACTGTGGGAAATAATGTCCAAAGCCCGTGAGGGTTGTAGGTAGCAGCTTCTCCTAGCAGATGTTTCCCCTGCTAAAGCTGATGTTACTCTGTGTTTCAATATCCAGCGAATTACTTTCTTAACATTAAAATAATGCAGTGCAAAAGCATTTAAAAGACAGGAGCAGTACTATATTTTACAACACAGAGATCCTACAAATCAAACTAGTATTTAAAAAAAAAAGGAATTCAAGCAATTTGGGGAAGGGAGAGGCTGCCTTTCAAAAAAAGTACAACTAAATGTCAATATTTTATCTTTGCAATCATGTACCTATTGGACTGGAGTTGTGATTTCAAGGTGTTACACAGTACTAGAAAATCAAGGACTGTACAGTGGGCTCAGTATCCCTCTCACAGGTCTGCAACCTGGTGGAAAAAAACAGCCATATCTTTCCATTAGAAAGAAGCAGATTGCACCTCATCAAATTGTACATCCCCAACTCTCTTTTAGGTCTTCCAGGTTTTCTTTTTTTGTGACTTAAAGGTTTGCCACAGCTTCAACTGAAATGAAGTTTTCCTCTCAACAGAAAGTGGACCAAGCCGTAGCTGTAAAAGTTTAAGGCAACTATTTTTACAACCGACTACTGATTTTTGAAAATTACATAATTTGGATGCCAGACTTGAGACACCTTAGAGTGCTTTAATTTTTAAAACTTGTTGAGCGTTTGACTTCTGATATAAGCCCCCTTTAAGATGTCTCAAAACCTGGACAGCCCCAAACTGCTGGGTTTTGAGTTAAGTCCTCACTATTTATAAATGACTGATTGAAAATGCTGTCCTTTGGAGATGCTGTAATTAATTTCGTCTGTTTGTTTGTTTATTATTTGGTAAAGCCAATAGTAGTTTCTAGTAGTAACTACAGATCCAGTGTAAATGACCAGGTATTGAAAAGTATCTACATTTACAACACACCAAACAAGTGAACAAGACTGTGAACCATTGACCAATATGGTCCATGAGAGAGCAACTTTTGTCCAATAGCTCTGAAAGAAAGCATAGGCACTTCTGCTTCAAGAGTTCTTGGTCCCTAAAACTCAGTCTCCTTTCCCCTAGTTATACTTGCTAAGGAGGAAAATCCACAGTACACAGGTTGTTGACTTCAATGAGGAAAAAGCTCTCCACCACCTCTTTGCTCAGAAGACCACTGAGGGAGGTGAGGGAGACCACCGCCCCCTTGCTTGTCAGAACAAGGCTGCATTCATCCCCAAAATGGGGCCGCACCATGTGCAGTCCTCCTCAGGAAGAAGTTTTCCACTTTTTCCACTGAGATTCCACTTACTGCTCTTGTTTGAAATCAGCTCACCATCTTCACGTCACACTAACGCTACTGGGTGCAGCACTTTCTTGGAATGCTGGCTGGTGAGAGCAGATTGAGGGTAGAGTTACTGGTAGGAGCTAAGAGGGACAAACTTCCTGGAAGCCTGAGTGAAGGAGACAAAAATAAAATTTTCACAGTGCTCCGGCTTCACTTTCGTCACCAGCTTAGGGACAACACCTCTGAGGGAGCAGAGCCCCATCCTCTGCTCCTCGTACCAGATGTTTCCCATGCCACTGACCCCCTTGCGGGCCATCAGGCAGAAGGGAGGCTTGGCCTCCATCTGCGATGGGGGCTGGTGTATGTACATGTACTTGCAGAGAAGGCAGTATGGGCAGAGCTCGTGTCCTTTTGAGTGCTCATGGTAGATCTGGCCGTAACATGTTCTGTTTGCATTCACCCTGTTTTCTTGCTTCATGCTACCCGTTCTGGCAAAAAATGGCCTGTTCTGGGAGTCTTTCAGTAAATCAGTGTCTCCAAACATTAAGTCCATGTGCTACTGTAAGGTTCACGTGTTCAGGTACTGGCTGTTTTATTTCAGCACTGTGGACAGGAGGGCTACAAGGCTGTCATCTCCCATGCATCCTCTCCTCCACATCTCTTCCTCATCAGAAAGGGAGAAGTTGACAACATTGTGAGAGCGGGCACCAGACATCCCAGCCTTGCTCAGGACCTTAAGCTTCTGCTTGAGCTTTCTGGTGGAAGAGCTGAAGGTGCTGCTGGTGATGGAGAGACCAGCACCAGCATTCTTGAGGATCCAGTCCAGGCCTCATCGGATAGCATGGAGGGACATGGCTAGAAAGGCAGACCCATCTGTTTTCTTCATGGTGATGTAAAAGTCCTCCAGGAGTTCACTGAGTTCACTGCTGGGATCTGGAACAAGAGGAAGGGGAAAGATGTGTCAAGATACTTCTGGGAAGGAAATGCATTGCAGGTGGGGACAACATGTTTAGGCTTTCTCCATGCTCTGTCTGAAGAAACCTGCAGAGGCTTGCACACTTCCCAGAAGTTTGTTTCTGGGCAGCCTTACAGTCTTGGGAAGAGGCTACATGTTTATCTGAACAAATGAGATGCAATGAAACCCCACGGTGTAAGGATGCTCAGGCAGACCAGATGCATTTCCCTGGCTGGCACCACTTTTGTGCCAGCCGTAGAAACCTAGATTCAGATGAAAAGAACCAAATTCCTGGCTTTTTTGAAGTGAATGAAGGTTTCACTCACACTGAGGGGTGACTGTGTGCAAATGTGTGACCTACCACTTGGGTGTAATATTCCATATTTTTGCAGTAATGTCGTACATGTGAAACTTTTCAGGCGAAGGAGGAGGAGAAGAAGGAGAAAGAGGAGAAGCAGCAGCAGCTTCTTCTTTTGGCCATGGGGTGTCAGTATGCAGTCAGGCTGCCAGTAAGGCTTCTTTAGCCTGCCAATGGCTTAGCTCAACCTAACAGAGAAACTTAACGTTATAAAACCTAAGTGGAGCTTTTTGTACCTTGGCCCTTAGCCACAGTCCTTATTTTTGGGGTGTACACTGATTTTGCTAGTAGTCCATTTTTGGAGAAAAATCCTCAAATGCTCTGAATTGCATTGGGTAGCTCTGGGAGGAGAAATCATGCAAAGAGTATGTCCTTAGGGTAACAGCATGAAATCTTATCACATGGCAGCATGAAGCCGAGGTTGTGTACAAGTGTTATGTACATGGAAATCTTTAGTATCACCCTGGGTTTCCAAGCTACTGGCTCAACCATAAAGGTAACAGACTGTGAATTAGAAAAGGTTACAGCTTTATTAAGAGAAACTTGGAAGGTGCCCAAGACAACAAGGATGTAAATAAGGTTGGAATCCCACCCCTTTTCAAACTTTATGACAACTTCATTTGACGAGGGGGGCTGGCTCCCATCACTGAAAAAATGGTATTTTGCTAAGTTTCCTGACGTTAGTGATATCTGTGTAATCTTGGAGTCCTTTGGTCATGCACCAGTATCTCCACATATTGAGTGCATAGCGGGTGACCTTGGTGTTGGGGCTCACAGCACTGATACCCAGGAGCCTGAGGTTGTCATTGATATTAAAGATAGGAAACTTGTTGAGCTTAGTTGAATATGCTAGAAAACAAATCAAGAAAGAAAGAGGATAAAAGTAGCTTGTCCTAGTGACGTGCTGGCACCATTTCTGGTTAAGAGAAACTTGGTGTTTTTCACAAAATGTGAGGAATTTAAGAAAGATGAAACATAACACTTCCCTGATGATTTCCCATGAGTTTCTGCACTGAAAACTCAGATGCAGCAGAAGGGGCACCATCATGAAGTCACCCTAAGGTTGCCGCAAAGCTAAAAATGTCCTGCCACACAGAGCCAGTAATAGAGAGGGAGTAACACAGCATCTTTTACCTTGCTGCTGAAACAGTGGAGGGTGACAAAGGCAAAGGTTTTTCCTTTGTTAGTTGACTCGGGAGCAGGGGAAAAACTCGTCCTAGTCCTATACAGCCTGATTCTCTGCTGCTGGTGTGTCACACCACCATGGGTGTCTGTGCAAGCTGGACAGGCAATGCTAACCAAGTAGGATTTTCCACTCATTTTATATTCCCTGTTAGGCACAACAAAATCAGGTCCTGTTGCTTCAGTGAACCAAAGGTAGGTGCATCATGATGAATAACGTGAGTTAAGGGAAGACATGCCATATGCATTTCTTAAAAGGAAAGCCTCAGCTCCACGGACAGGAACCGAAAGTACAGGATTGATGGAGAACTTTTTCATAGATGTTCAGCCACTTAATAGCCTTTATGAAAGGGTAATATATTTTTATGATACCACTATAATCTCTATAATTTTATTATATCCACTATACTTTTCACAAGGCTGAAACTGATGGATTTTGCCTCCCAATGTAAGTGAACTGTGAAAGGTTGCTCTGAACATCCATGCACTGAGCTAGTGATCCCCACGATGACCATCTCAGCATGGCAGGAAAAGGGACGAGGCAGTACACTCAAGAGGAGGGAGATGTTGGCTCTGCCCATGGCAGGGGGCTTGGAACTAGATGATCTTTAAGGTCCCTTCCAACCCAAACTGTTCTGTGATTCTCTGATTTCTCCTTCTAACCTTCAGTTCTGCAGGCACAGCTGACCATTACTGCAGCCCCAGAGGTGTAACTCTGCACACTAGGACGAGGTGATTTTAAAAAGATGTTTCTATTGTTGCAGCTTTTGCTGTTAATATAGTATATAAAAGGTAAAGGAACTGCATAAACCCAACTGAGGAATGCACCACAAGCAAAACAAGCTGGAAAGCTGAGTAGATGCACCATGCACAGGCTAACAACATAAGCATGTTGTCTGATCCTCTGAGCTCTGGACACTTCTATAAGAGGAGTCCTCAATCTGTGGTCTGCAGACCCGTGGCAGCCCAGGGTCTCCTCCTGAAGACTACAAGAAAGCTTGCTGGAAAAAAGCATGCTATGCAGAGGGCACATCTGGAAAGCGCACATTGCTGTGCAAGCCCATCCAGGGGCAGAGGTCTCACAAACTGAAAGGACCGTCTCTTCTTTCTGTACACTGCAGCTAATCAGTGGACAAAACCAGGACTCATTTCTGTCTGAAAGGTAGGGTGCAAGTATTTTTTCTAAACTGAGATGTGCTTACAAACTTTGCTCATGGCCTGTGGTCCTCCTCGGTTTGTGCTGATGACCACTGCCTGTGGTGCCTGGCAGCCGCCTTGCTCTCCTGCTAGCCCAGGGATGGTGCTGCAGAATGGGGGTGTTGTGACAAATTCATGTGGCATGAACTTGGGTGGAAGTTCCTCTGGTCAGTGGCTTCACGAGCTCTGTGCAATGAGTTATTAGGCAGACAACTCTGCCAAATAAAGGCCAGGATGCTCAGGGACATAACAAACTGTTGAGTCACCAGCAGTCTCCTTGACAAGGGTTTGCCCCCTTGTGCCTTCAAGCCTTGCTACAACCCTCTCGCAATGACTGTTCAGGCATTCTTTGCCCCCTACCAATAAGCAAATCTTAGATCAGTCCTCCATAAAGCCTCGCACCTCCCAGGATGTTTGTTTTCCCAGCCTATGGATTGATAACATTCACCCCCACACCACATTTCCCCACAAGTTGCTTGCCACTCTGCTTCTGAAATTGCTGACTCATGAGCTGCCACCGGCTCACACTGCTGGCTCACCCAAGGACTACTGACAGCATCAAGGGCACTTTGGGAAACAGCCTACTAGAAGCAAGAGCCTAGCCATACAATGCCAGTTGCCCTGGAAGATATAACAGCACAAGCCTCAGTGAAGCTCTCATACTGCAATTAATCCCACAGGCATTAATGAACTTCTGACAGGGCTCGGTTTGAAAATTATGGTGGCCATTTCCTGAATCACAGTATCACTCGGGCAATTTATTGAACCACAACAGAAGACAGAGACTTAGATTGCTTCTGGCTTTGCAAGGCAGGGTGTATCATTTGCTAGGAAATTAAGTCATAGGTCCTGATTTTTCCAAATTCCAGATATTCAAAATTGGGGCATTTGGTTTGAGCTGAGCTGTGATAATGGATAGTGCTAACAGTAACAGTTTTTCATTCATGCTACTTCAGTCCTGAATGGGGACAGTGAGTCAAGTGCTGCACCAGAACAGGATACACAGATGGCCATTCAGGCATGTTTCATACCTTATGCACGGTGATGCCCATTAAGGTCTGTATCACTTTTTCCTTTTCTTCCCACTAGACACCTTGTCCTCATAAACTACCCAAATTGGCACGTGTTGCTCTAAGGCTTGAAAATGTAGTCAGATCAGAAAGTGATGACTACTGTGAGCAGCGTGCAGCAATAATATTTGCAGTAAAGGAGTCTTAGCCTAACAAAATAAAAATGAAATAAAATGATGGCATAGTGATGGCAGGCATGTATCAGCTCCCATCTGTAAGGGTGTTGTATCATCAGAAGGCTGGAACAGGAATTACCCAGTTTTCGACTCCTGCAGGAAACAGATCATTCTTGCTCCTCTGTGTTTTATCAGCATAATGAATATTTGCTTTCTTTTGTCTGGGAGAAAACAGTTTATCCCTTTCATTCTTGGACAGTGTGGAGAAGTCCTGGAAAAAGGCCAGGATCTTGATTGGAAAGCGCACCAGTGCACGGGCTCTGTTTAAAGATAAGGGTATTCACACCCTGCCTTCATCGCTGACTTCAGTGGTTGCATACTAAAGCACAAAGCTCTTTGCCTGACGTTGCCTGTCAGTGGTCAGATGATGCTCTAAGGGTTTTAAACGATGTTTGAATACTTTGCAGAGTACTTGACAGAGGTGTTGGGTCACCACCAAGAGGCACTAACAAAACCTACACCCTTACCGATAGTGGACAGGAGTTCCCTCTGGGACCTGTGAGGCAGAATTTTGAAAAACATTCAGCAGCCAGGAACACACATCCCATATCCGAAACGGCTTTGCAAACACTGGTGCTGCTCTGGGTTATAATCACACCAACACTCACAGGTTTTGGATCAAGTCCCGCAAGATTGCATTTTCACATGCGTAACTCACAGGCTGCCTGTGAAAACAAGTCCTGACTCAGTACCGCTGTAGGTACAGCGTGAGCAACTAACAAACATGGAGGAGGTCTTGCACTTAAATCTCAGAGTCCTTTTCCCTCACCCCTAATACACCTTTTACCTCCTTCTTCCTGGAGGTTACTCGAGGGCTTATTTTCAACCAACAGTTCAGGGGATGCGGGCTAAGTATGTGAAAACACAGCACTTGAACAACTCAGTAATGATGGTTCCTTTGAAAAAGTCGTCTTTGTGCTCAGTTCACCTGATGCCACACTCATGGCAGAAATCCTTCAAAAATCACACAAAACGGCCAATTGCACAGGCACAAGCCCTCTTGCCAAACTTCTGTCACTGAGATGATACATCGTACAGGAAAAAAACAGTTATATTTGTCATTGCTTGCCAAAACATGCACACACCCTACATCTATGCAGACAACTGTGCTATTATCTGCTGGTTTGTAGCTGTTCCATGCCAGACCTTTTAAGCTGAAATGCACACAGTATATGTCTAGACACCTAATGCTGTGCTCCCTGCTGAGGCCAGGAGTTGTACTGTGTGTGTGTTTGGTGAGAGAAGAGGAGGGTTGCCAGATGAGCTAGTAAGGTGCCATCAAAACTGGTGAGGTCTCAGATCTGAGTTGTCTTTACATCTCTGCATTCTTCCCCTAAAGCAAAGGCAGTTCCTTACACAGCGCCTGTTGCTGTTCATGCTGCAAATTAGCAGTCACTGTCTCAGTGGCACTATATCAGAAAAGCCGGAGGACTATTTATCCTCCCTCTGTGGAAGCAAACATACTAAACCCCCACCAATCTACCCTAAATAAAGAAGATCAAGATCTCTGCCATATCAGGATGTTCCTAAAATCCCCAGATTCTACTTGTCTTTAACAACGTCTTTACTCGTTTTTGTGCTAGCCCATGCTGCGAAGATGCTGACACATGCCACAGGCTCCTGGCAGATGCCACTGTTGTGCAGAAACAGCAGGGACTTTAGATGCTGTTTAGAGGCTGCTCAGCTCTCACAAGGTGAGCAGGGAGACGCTCCCATGCTCCCTGCTGCCTTGCAGGCACCAGGCATCGGATAGAGTGCCAACACAGCCTGACTGACTGCTGCTCTGCTGAGCAGTTTGATGACCACATTTTACATCTGTGTAAGCAATCGCTCTTCCAGGGGGCTCCAGATCCAGGAGGCTGAAGGATAGAGCCAGATGATATGGAGAGGTGACTCCCATAGCAGATGGCATTGCAGAGGATACAACTTACCTGTCTGGTTTTACAGGATGGGCGATGCTTGTCTGCTCAACAGTTTCCTCAGGCAACCCTCTGCACGTGAGAACATCTGGCCATCCTGAGCCTCCAAGAACATTTCTGAGTGTCCCTCACCAAGGTCCAGACACACAGAAATCTCCTTCCAAATAGAGATGAATGGCATCATCTTGTATTACAGGGTTAATGGCTCCATGGCAGCATCCTATCTCAACACTCAATGCTTCTGCCTGCCTTTCCCTGGGTATACATTTGAAGCAGGTTTTTCTCCAGTCCTGTTCTGTTTGCCATTTTGTATAGGGACAAGAATAACTAAAAATGTTGTACTTGCAAGTATGTGAGGACCTTTGAGGTGAATAATCATGCTACATGCAGGGTTTTGTCTTCAGTCTCTTCCAGGTGTCGTTTCCTCACAGCTTTCAGAGGAGCAGCAATAAGCATGTCATGTGCCGCCAGTCTTGCGTGTGCATTCTCTTCAGGGTACCTGTAGGAATTTGGCCCTTAGAACAAAGTGTGCATATACAAATAGCCGTATCTTCTTATAGTCGTCTTTTTTTTTTTCCTTTCTTTCTAATTATTCTCTTTGAGAATAATTAGAGAGAGTTAATTGGTTAGAGAGCTAGCCAATACTACCAGAAGTGAAGGTTGAAATACAGTAAGCCACCAGGCTACTCTAAAAAGAAGTCTTGCAGATCTTTCTAGGGATAGCTGTCAATTTCCATTTGTCTTCGGTGTGTATCACAAAGCAAACCACCAGCGAGTTACAGATCCCACTTTGCCACCTCCAAAGCCTACCTGAAGAGGCAATGTGGCATAATGTCCCCAAGCAACTTCCACATCAGTTGCAGTCACAATATTCTTAAGCAATGTCTTGAGTACAATGTTTAGACGTATTCAGCTGCAACAGGAGACTTCATCACGTTTCTGAGATCATGCCGGGGAAGTACTCCAGATTGCCCAAGCCAAATTCCACAGTGCTACCCAGAAGGCCTGAACCCTGCAAGACTGTACACAACATGTGCACACTGCTGCTGGTTATCCTTGGGTATAGCAGGAGGAGGAGAGGACACGCAGCCACCTCATGGAAGCACAGTGGTTCTTAAAGTGGCAATCTGGGTTACGTCAGTGTACAAAGGGAAAAGCGAAAGCAGCTGAACTACCAGAACTTTACCAATTTGCTTAGCTGAATCCACATTAACCATGTTAACATTAACCACCACCTGCATACTCACTTTCAGACCAAAGGAAAGCACATTATCTTCAACCTCTGTGAAGACAGCATAATCCAAGTTACATGGTTTAATCCAACAGGTTTACTGTGTATTTGCAACAGACAGCCAAAGCACCTGGTAGCCCGTGGCCATCACCTGTCCATGCCTCACTTCTCTCTTCATCTGAAGGCCTCTTTCTTTCCACTTGTGACTGGGACCACGGCAGGACCTTTGACATGACGCCTTTTATGTGCTGTTGTGCTGAGCAACAACACACAGTCCCACTGCTAGCACCAAGCATCAAGATTTATTTAGCAGAATTTTCCAGGTGATGGAAATGCAGTCCCAGAATACCTGGCGAAAATCTTGTTCCTCTATACTTCACCCATGGTGTCACTTAGCTCTTACTGTCCTGCACTGATGTCCTAACACCAACACAAACACATTGCTGTTCCCTAGATGGCAGTTCCCTGAAGGATTTGGCTTTTTGCTTTTTCTCATGGTCCTTTGGCAGAACCTGAGACACTCTGACCTTCTCCAACACAGTCGTCATCCCATGAACCGCAGGTCAGTGGAATTTCATTGGAGCTGTCAAGGGATTTTTCCACATGGGATGCTTCTCTTTCACAATATAGGAGTTTTATTAGCTTGAGTTTTCTGGTTCTTCAATTTTAAAACCTCTAGAACAGAGAATATTTAGACCTGACAAACAACGATCTTAAAAGATGCATATCCCTGGATGCACATTTAATTTTATTCTAGATGAATGTTAAAACAAAACTCTGTGGAGAGCAGACCTTACTGCTGAAACTCTATATGCAAAATAAATAATTTCAAGCCAAACTGTGCCTTGGAATTGATGTAACCAGATGAGGTTCAGGAAGATTACTTTAATCCGAAAAGGCTCTCAGGAGGTAGGCTTTCAGTCCTACTGAAGTGAGATTAAATGAGCACATGGTTCAAGTCAAGCTTGCTTGTAGGTACATTCCTGAGCAGGGAAGGACTTACGCAGTCATTTGTTTTCCTGAAGCACAATCCCAGAAGTTAAGGATGTTATGACAGCAACTATTTCTTCGTCAGCCTGTTTGCACTGTGCTAATCAAAATATATCACAGGTCCATGGGAACTTCCCAGTTATGCTGATAGTCGTACTTGAAAAGCACGAGAGAGCACCGTGCTTTTTTTATGCAACATGCTTCGAAATGCCAAGTAAATTGATTTCACTTGATGAAAGAAAGCAGTCAACTTTGCAGAAAACAGTTTATTAAATACATGAGTCTTGGTTGCTACACCTAGTTACAGACAAAATGCTGTGAATAAACCATGCATTTACCACAGACATCAATGACTATCTTGACTATTGTTTAAATGGTCTTTAATTCTGCAAGTTTAAGGCTGTACCAATACAAATTTTTAAAAATGAAAATAAAAGTCACACTACAATAGTAGCAAACATTGTATGGACAGTGAAATCAATCTCTAACGCAGCAGAACTAGACTTCTTCAAGATCATCATAAGGGAATAAAAATGGAGCTGAAGTGCACTAAAAACCAAAATATCTCTGGAATTTGCACATCAGTAAAAGTGAATGTCATAGTCTGATTAGCACACAACTGAATCAATTCTTTTCAAAAGCCTAATTATCTGACAACTGAGCAAGGAATGAAACTCAGACACCATTAAAAAAAAAAAAAAACAAAAACAAGAAATCCTCTTGGTTTTACTTTCTTCTTATCAAGGGTACTTTTGTACTCAAACGCCAGAAGAGCATTTTTCAAAGAGACATCTGATTGAAGTGTGTCAGGCAGCAGTACAACATACATTTGTTTACTCTATCACAATTAAAGAGGAGTGGAGTGTCTTGCAGTAGAAAAAAAGAAAAAAACAACACAATAAAAAAACAGTTCTCAACTGGCACAAGTGACAGACAACTTTATTGACCATATTGGTCTTCATCTGTAAAGGACCTTATCCTGTATGAAGTTCGCTTCTTAAAAATATGCTGCAGAAATAGTAATATGGTATCCATATGGGTCCAAACTTCTCTAGCTGACAAGTAAACAGATTACCAGCCCTGGAAAGCCAGTTGGGGATCTAGGGCTCAAAGTAGGTTATGAAATCTTTCCTCATTTATAGCAGCGAAGCCTTTTTGCTCATTTTTCTCAGGTCGCTGTGCTACTCCAGAAAGAAGGTATTTTGAGGACAATGGAGTTGAAGAGGTAGCTCTAAAAATGGACTGTAGTTGACAATTTTGCTCATGTTTTCAGAAAACGATCCAGTAACTTTTCCCTTCCCCTCAGATATTCTAGATTTGCAGAGCTGAATGCATTAATATGCATCAAAGTATCACTTCTCCCTAATAAACAGTTGTATATATAATCTCCTAAATGCAGGGGCAAGAGATCTGTGTAAGAAGGTGCATTGTGTACAGAAAACTGCATTTTGAGTGGAAGATATATAGCACTGCACATGCTAAGACTGCTGCCTTAAGTAGCTGATTACAGCTGGGGCTTCCAAAGGGGTCTAAAAAAAGCTAAGTCCCCAAAGTCCATTGGGGAGGTTTGGATGGACAATTCTCTCCTGGCTCCTTTCAGCAGCACAGCCTAAGCTACAGTTTTTTTCTAAAAAAAAAAAAAAAAAGGCAAAAAAAAAAAGCAAGCTTGTCCTACAATATAATGCACTTCAGACAAAATGCAATTACAAGAGCAATTACAGGACTGACAACATGTACACTGAAGGCATCACAGTGCCTGGAAGGTGGTATCTAAACCAGCGCAACATTAGTATCAGCCATTTTCTGTCTTAAAACCAGTTAACCATGGTGAAAAGAAACAAATGCCACTAGAGACTCTGACATGACACAGGCAGCAGCCTGAATCCAAATGTTAGGTCTACACCTCTAGACCTGTAACTGCATTTCCAGCGTGCGAAGTGCTAAATAAAGAATATTGATTGCTTTCCTCATTCAAATTTAAACTGAAGATAATGCAGATATATATCTATATACCTAGCTTCACAATGGAAGAGAAGAAAACGGGATAAAACCAGTTGCTATGCTACAGGAATGTAAGGCATTTTTTTTGCAAGTTAGGCCAACACATAGAAGAACCTAGGAAGACCAATTGGCAAGACAATTAGTCTAATTGGTGGGACCATGGAGATTCAGATCAAGCTATAAATAGAAGAAATGCAGGAAAAAAGACTGTGTATCACTGCCTTGCATATTTAATATTAGGGCCACATAGGCAGTAGTTCTGCAGAGTCAAAACTCTTCTCATACTAGTGGAAGCACGCATTCATGTGTAAATGGCTACTAGACAAGCAAAATGATGGAGAAGCACATTGCAACTGGTCTCAGCTGGCTTCTGATCTGGCAGAAGGAGCCTGAAGAAGCTACCATTTTTTAAGGAACAATAAAAGGGTCTAACATTGCTGAATAGAATTGCCCTATTCCCTCCAAGAAATGGGAACTGAGGTGCTGCAAAAGGCTTCTAAGCATCCTAATCACTTGTGGAAGGCCTACATCTTCAGCTGGGGTTTTCAAATTCATCAATTTGTGGGGGACTGGCTTGCGACTTACTAGATGTGATGATTTTCGGTGTGTTCAGGGCTGCATCCTTTAATATTGCTTTTTGTAAATGTCCTGGGTACCACAAAAAGGAGCAGCTACATTGAAAATTTTGGCACAAACTTCTTTTTTGGAAGTATTTTACATCACAAGGGCTGTAAATTGTCTTCCTGGGGAACAGAGATGGTTTAGATCAGTACCTGTAAGGATGAATTCAATGCACTTGTATTTTTCCAATCACACAAGTTTTCTGGCAACTTGGTATTCTGATTTGAAAAGTCTTTTCAAGACTTGTAACAGGCTTTCATCTCTCAGTAGAAATGGAAAACCAATGGTTAGTCTTTTTTCCATACAAAATACTATTTTAAAGACCAGCCTAGGTACAGTTGACAATGCCTGGTGGCTGGGAAATGCACTAGACAGATGAACATCTCACATTTCCCTCCTGCCTTTTTCTGTTGTATGATTACAGTATGGTACGATTTCAGCCTGTCAAAATCTTATCAAAATCAAAACGAATGTGTTTGCATGTGGATATTTGCTATACTGCCAGATTCTAAGCAGAGGGTGAAAAAGGAACTGAAAATGCAGTGTCAGAATTTTGATAAACAGGGCTTGTCTGCCATGAAAGCAGTTGGAAAGAACACCACCAAAAATCTTAGGCTTGAATTTCATCCAAGTCTCATTTGGCAGCAATGCGTGGCTTCAGCGGAGGCGGAACAGGGACTGGAATCCACCACTTGACCAGGCTGACACTTGTTTACAAGAGCAGGCCCACAACTGTTATGAGAGCTAACAGTTTCTTATGGTAATCAGAGGATTGCTTTCATTAAGTGGCATTTTAGCATGCTCTGCAATGACTTGAATAGGCTTGGCTAATCACTGGATCTGTTCCCAACAGGAACATTTGGGTACTGCGCATTCCCTCATACCCCTCACACCCCTCACTTTCACAGTTGGCAGACTGCTGCTGCAGGAAGTGTAGCTGGGGAAGATGGCTTCTTTTAAGCTCTATTACGTTTGTGTTTTCTTTTTTTTCCCCAAATGTAAATTAATGAGAAGACACTTTAAAGAAAGATGGAGAGTTCAAGAGATTTTCTTTTTTTTCTTTTTACTTTTTTTTTTTTTTAAGCTTCAAGCTGGTAAGTGATCATCTGTGCAGAACAAGATATTAGAAGTTTGTCACATCCTGTCTACCACAACATATTGATTCCTTCTACAGAAGGCACTAAATACTGGCATAAAACAAGAAATGAACAGCAGAACGCAGAGTTTTACTATGACACACAAAAAACCTGCTAACTGGCACAGCTTAGTAGTAGTTTTCAGTTACCTACAACAGTGGTGGTTATAGCAGCAATGGTTAGCATTTTTACAAGTACCACATAAATGTACACATGTCAGAACATCTAGAAAACATGCAAAACTTCAACAGCAACATCACTGACTCTCACAATGCATAGAAATATTATTACTATTATTATTATTAATTATTTGGCAAGACAGTGAATCTTTTTCTTATAAAACAAAACAAAAGAATTAACAAAATCTACTTTTTTACAAACTGTTCTTAAAAAAGTGTCTTAAAGTCAGTGAGTGGACGTTAGCCTTAGACAGAGGTTTAACTCTGAGAATTAATTGGTCACTTAGGAGAATTCACATTGTTAGG